ACCTTTAAAGTCTTTCTCTAGACACGAAATTAATTTCCTCCCCGCACTGGCAAAAAACACCTCACTTCCACCTCCCCCTTCCCTGCTTTAGCACGCTCAAGCGCTCTCGGCAAAAGGTTCAAGTCATGCTGGTGAAACGTTCGGAGAAATGGGACCAACGATTTCCGGGGAATTTTTAAAGAGGCCACCATGGCTAGCCCTTCATTGATGTAAATGCGGGCGGTGCGAGCCGCGGCCCACCTACCCAACACTATGATCCTGTCTAAGGATCCGTGACGCCCAAACCAACAGGTCGCCCCACCCCTACGAAGGCTGTAAGGGCGGAACTCGAATTGCTCTAAATGCAACGCCTTCACACACTCAGAGAATTTCTTTCGCCATTGGTGTGGTGCAGGGGTAAGGGGGCAGCGCGAGGAGGATGCATTCTTCCATGCCCAAAGCCACTGAAGGGCACTTGTCACAGAAATGGTAACACTCTCAGAAGCGCCAGCTCGCTTTCCTGACTTTGTCAGGCCCAACGAAATTACTGCAGGTTTATCGGGAGATGTCATCAAAATATGGTGATTGCATAATCCAAGAATCTCCCCCGTACGCAGCAGTCCGTAAAAACCTAACAACAGGCTCAAGCCGAAGGCGTACTCTTCATGGAAAAGGCACCAGCCCAGCATTGCCTGAAGGCACTCTTCCGGGAGCGGGGGTGCACGACTGGGTATTTCATTGACGTGCCACGTCTTCAGGAGCCTCCATGTGACCTGAAGTTGCCCTTTCAAGCGTGGTTCTGTGTCTTGAAAACCCGCGACCGTGTCACTTGCCAAGGCACGCCCCTCTCCCTCACTCCATAAGTGTTCAACGTAGTCGGCCAGCATATCATCGAAAGCCGAAAACTTGGTGGGAATACTCAGGCCGTTGGTGTGAGCGTAGTCATAGAACTTTTGCTTTGCGAGGCTGTATCGTTTCCTGGTCTGGGGTTGTACTGTGAGTTCACGCAGGCTTCCCAATGCTCGTCTGTTTTTCGCTCGTTCTTCCTTGCTATGGCCCTCCAAGTGCTGCTTTACTTTCCCCATTTTCGCTGTAGCGGCCGCCGGCTAGGCCGGTCGGCGGGGTTTTGAGCTGTATGCACGTATCCCCAGATGGGGTGGAGGTCCGCAGCAAGGATGAGCGAGTTGATCCGCATCAGCACATGTCTCAACTTTCTAGACGAGCTCCGACCACGCGACAAACTATGCAAGCACACCAGACTGTCCGTCAAATGTAGGAAACGTTTGCTGTGTCCACCTCGACGGACCACCAACCACCTCAATGTAGTAAGGATAGCCCGTAGTTCAAGCACGTTGATATGTTCCCCTGAATGTCGCCAATGCCAACCGGTGACCTCACGCCACCTCCACAAATTTGCGGGCACGCTCGAACGCAATCTGTGGAACTTGACCTGGGGCTCACTGACAGCCGTGACCATGAGATCTTCACCTTTCATGGACACCAGCCCAAGCAACTTCAACAACAGCGGTTTCTCATGCGACTCCACAAGCGTCTTGTTCGAGGTCAAGGGCGGGCGAAGCAGAATACCTTGTAACGTGCCACTGCGGCCTGGTGTCAAGCGATCCACGATCTGCTGGAGGTTGTGCCGTCGACAGAAACCAAGGGGTCCAAGGAGGTGTTCCAAGAGCCAAGTGATCACTCCCACATGCCAGGAGTTGCCTATCAACGACAGTCGAGTGTCTTCCCATAGGGCTCCAGTCTGTTGGTTCTTCGGGAGGCAAGGCCGAGTATAACCAACCGGTATGCACATGATGGCCTCCCTCTCTTGGACATTCGCTCTCCGTGCTGCACCTTTCCGGGTCCAAAGGAGATTGTGATCCCGATACTGGTACGGGGGAAAGCGATAGCCATCATCTACCCACCGTTGTCGCTCATGTGGCGCACACCGTCCCAGCCCAGCTGGCCGGAACCCCGGCTCCTCACGCGGGCGCGAGGTTGTAAAGGTTGGCAGACGGTAGCCCTCCGTGACGAACCATCCCTGCTCCAAGAAGGCCTGCTCCTCCACCTGGGCCTTCAGTTCAACCAACCCACAACCGGTCCACTCCGAATCCACCACGGGAGGGGTAACGGTGACGCCCTCTCCCTCTGACAAGTCCCAATCCACCCAGTATAGGCGAGGACGATGACACAGACTAATGCTGCCAGAGTCAATCTTGTATGGTTGCAACCCCACTGCGGCGCTCATAATGCGGCGATCTTCTTCTCCCATAGAGGCGACTGATTCCATCAACAACCTCACCTGGGCCCAGGGAAAGTGGATCTTGAAGAGCTCCTTGATACGGGGGACTTCCTGGAAGAGGCTGCTACGAGCATCTCGCAAGGCTCCCTTCTTTGAGGCGTTGAGCCCGCTCACGCCTTGACAAGGCGGTCCCGCACCTATCAGGATGAGAGGCACGGATGGGAATCGCATTGCCAAGCCTTTGACCATCTTGTCGTCCACTGTCGTGACGTCATCATGAAATATGGTATCTGGGAAGAAAGCTTCAACGACGCGACGACCTGTTGGCTCCTTCTCAACGCTCAGGTGGCCGGCCACTCCAACTCCCAGGCTATCGACTGCCAGTCTCAACGCCCCCAAACCATCAAACAGTCCCACAGTCAACACTTGCAGAACCTCCCCCTCAAGCGGGAGATCACCACGACTCTCCGTGTTCAAAGCCGTCATGCCATAACCAGTCAAGCCTTCGCTCACACACACTCCTCCGCCTGACGTGGATGCATCACTGCACGTCACGTGGTCCATGAAAGGACACCGGAAGTCAATCTGTGCCAGAGGGGTCAACAAAGTGAAGATCATCAACTCTCTCTGGACTCCCACGGGTACCGGGAGCCGGACAACAGGCGGCAGGTGCTTCAGTTTCTCCATGAACCTCCACACCTCATTCAGAATACCCAATAAAGGCCTCCGGAACATGGTGAAGTACACGAAACCCCCACACACGACTTGAAGTTCCTTTAGAGTACAGCTGCCTCTCTCTACCAGCATCACGGCCAACCTGCAATACAATGTGACCTTACCCGCCTTGGGTTGGGCAAACCCTTCAACACCATCCAGAATGGCCCCTTGAATCTCCGCAACCGGAGCTCGTTCCACGGCCTTCTTCGGGTGACGTGGGATGCCCTGTGAGGCGTACTGCTCTCTCAGGTCTTGCACCGCTTGGGCTACGCAACCCCCAACTGCTTTGGCTGTAGCTGGATCAAAGCGCTCTACCAAATCAAAGTTGTCCAAGTAAACCCTATACTGGTGCTTGGCTGTGCTGCTAACCCTGTCTTTGCGCATTTCACAAGCTCCCCCCAATGTTTTGCTGTCTTGCTGGCTCCAGGTGACAATGTTCCGGTGTACGTGCTGTGCAATGGACACGCTGTTGAGGAATCCCATAGGCAACACACACGCAGTAAGCACGCAGGGGCGTCCACGCCACGCATCAGGAACCAGGGATGGGGGGGACGAGACGGTTGAATCCAAGGAAGCGTTTCCAGGAACTCGGAACCCTGAACAGATAAAAGAAACAGCGCACATCTTCTGAACTGAT